ACCCAAACCCAAGTAGACCCATTGATAATGGGTTGAGTATGGGTGAAGTGCATATGAATTTGGGGGTTTATAGATGGATTTGGGTAAGGTATGAATATTGCTTCCATAATCTAAATGGCTATGGATTGGATATGAATATCCATTTACTTGAGGGTGTTTTAACTACACATGCAGAAATTGGACCTATTTGTAAAACTTGAAAAGTTTAGGTACCAAAATGTAAGACCAAAAAACTAGGTACCAAAACGTAATTTTCCATCGATATTTTGAGGACTTATATGCAAAAAAATAAAATTAGGTACGAAATATGCACATCTATTAAGTTTGGGTACCAAACTGTAATTTGTATTTGGGCATGGGTACAAACCCAAATCCATTTGATATAAACCCAACTCAACCCAAAGTAAATGGGTATATCCATCTATTTGGATTTCATACCCAACCCAATTGGGTTAGATAGTAAGAAACCTATGGGTATGGGCAAAGTTGTCATCCCTAGTGACAGACATGTAAAATAATTATATATAAGATTTATAACATTTGGAAATTGCTAGCATAGACTCTTTTAGAGATCAAGCTAGCATAGACTCTTTTAGAGATCAAGGCTAGCTATGAACTCCTAGAACCTTAGGAGTTAGGATTCACTTATGTATATTACCAAAAATGAAAAAGAATTAAAGAAGCCCTACGCTATATGGACAAAGGCCCAAAACCCTCCAGATCGACCAACGAAAAAGCAAATCGATTGCAATGGCGACGACAAAGACAAACCGGTGGTGGCGACTCTGCACCGGACTTTCTGGTGGGACCAGCGAGTAGGGTTGCAGCGAAACACACGTGCCGGTGTCTATTGGTTTCCGGACATACGGCCACCGGACCCACCACCACAAAAACAGTCCCTACGGCGGCCGTCGGAGAGCGATGGTCTGTCCGCGCGCGCGTGCGGTGGCCGGGCGACAGGAAAGGAAGGAAGCAAAAGGACCCCGTTTTCTTTTTTGGTTCCGTCCCGTTATGGCCATCACTCCATCGATTGAAGCTTTGACTAAATTTGAATACGTACCACTACTACTTACTCAGCCAGGGCCGGTCGTTGTACAATGGGTTCTGGGTTCACCGACAACTTATCCAGCCTGTCGCTGACACTGTTCATTCTCTCCTATTGTCTCCCACCAAGTATGGCGGTATCCGTTTTCTACTGTGAGCTCTTTCTCTACCGCCAAGTAAACAAACCACGTGTTTGTTAATCCTATATTTTGCATGGTTAAAATGAAAAAATATAGGTGTTAGAAGGTTTCGTTTGGAAATTGCGATTGCTTGAATAGATCGCTTGAACAAGATCTCGAAACTAAGAACCGAGGTAAGATATTACTTCAGGGAGACGAGGCAAGGTGTGGAGTGGCACTAGGCTGGGATGGCAATGGGTAGGATCGGGTGCGGGTTTACCCTATACCAACTCCTAACCCGCCGGGTAGAGCCTTCTAAAATACCCGACCAAATAACCACCGGGTATGAAAATTATATAACCATACCCTACCCACCGGGTAACCACGGGTATTCGGGTAACCATGGATACGAATCCTAAACTATGAACTTATCCACATATATGCACATACATATTGTTGTCCATTAAAAATTCTCAATACTTCTAATTTTTCTAGCTTCAACAATCCACACAAATAAAAACAACAAAAACATAATAATTGTTCTTGCTTCTACAATCCACACAAACATAATAATCGTCTACATCTTCATCATCAATAATGGTAGCTAAACCAAATTTCTCAAGCTAAACTAAATTTCTCAAGGGAAATTGACCCTTTGGTTAGCGGGCGGGTATAATGGGGCGGCTATTATCGATTACCATACCCGTACCCTACCCTTTATTTTGAAACCGGGTTTTACTCGTACCCGCCCCTTAACCCGTCAAAGAGGGTAATTACCCTCGTTGACTGGTTACGGTCGGGTAGGGTACCCATGGTTACGGGTTGGATTGACATCCCTATAGACATCAAACAGTTACTTGGGGGAAACTTGTGTGGCGTTCAGGTCTGATTCCTAGAAGTGGAATCCAAGTGTTTGTGACCTATGTCTTTATGTGTGACCTATGTCCTTTATGTCTGTATCTTAGATAGCACTATTAGCATTTCTATTCGGGGTCGTTTTGATGGGTTAATTGTCAATGTGGTATTTGTAGAGTCAAATAACTCATTTATTGTTCATGTGGTATTTCAGTGTTATTTCAGTGATAATTGAAATAAAGTATCTCGTTTGGTTGAACCATGCAAATGTGGTATTTGACATGTGGTATTTTGTAAAAGCAGAGTGATAAAATGAGTTATTTCGAAATAACACATGTATATAAGTTATTTCAAATAACTCGTTTTGAGTTATTTGTAAATAATTCACTGTCCAAATAACTCATTTCAGTAAAACGCTGCCAAACGAGTTATTTGCGTCCAAATAACTCATTGTGAGTTATTTGAACCCAAATAACTCATACAAATACTCCATCCAAACGACCCCTTCTTTTGTTGATTTGCTGGTATTTTGATGAAATAAATCAAACCCATTTCATAAAAAACCCATAAACTATCACTTAAAATGAGAGTGGTTGGAATATCGCAATTTTTTGCTGAGATTGTCGAGATTGTCGAGATGAGATTGTTTTACCTAACCTTTTAACTGATACGACATACACAATTACACATACCAATGACTGTATTTTACAATGCATCAAATTCATCAGTAAACGAATTCATAACAATACATATAATATTTAACAATGACAACTTTCAAACGAACTCTGATTTCTTGTTTTAACTATATCGTCTTCCCTCCGATGCTCGACTATGAATTCATCAAATAAATAAGCAGATGTCTACATAGTTTATGTAAAGTATAATGAAAACATCCAATATGATCTACCATCTTTCTCGTGATTCAGAACTCATTAACTATGCTCGCTCAATCCTGAGAAGGTTTATAGGTCCAATTTGTGCTCTTAATATGACAACTCAATCGTGCTCAATGAAATTATCATACTTCGTGTCTTGCTGATCCAAAAGAAATGGGAATATGTTTGATCTAGTTTGCCCAAATATATATGGGGGCACATGACATTTATGAAGGGAGGAAAGGAAGAGGAAGAACTTGGAATGGGAAGGAAAACACCACACGTGCGGTGGCACGCGTAGACAATTATTTGAGGGGTATCGTTCCCACACAGACTAGTCCAACCTCCATATATTTTGGGAAGGTTCTTACAAGATTTACACAAATACCAACGCGAGAGAGGTTTACAATCCATGCAAATTCTCTCATCTCGTGTTACTTCTCACTTTTTTTTTTGGGTAGAATGTTACTTCTCACTTTGATATTTTTTCCCCTCCTTTGTCATTTTAAAAGGAAAAGGTATGATGGGAAATTTATAATCGAGGAGATAATATAATTATATACTTACTTTAATGAATCTATAACTAGTAATTAATTTAAAGGCAATTGAGTAAAGGGTTCCCCTCACTCTATTTTTTTAGTTGTTCTTTCTTGGTAGAGGTTCATATGACACTACCTTTTTGTTTGGTTTGTTTGGTCTTCATTTGCAGAAAATGGATAGAAAGAGATATTTTTCATTGGAGAATGAGTGAGTGTTAATGTCGCACGGGAGAGGAAAGTTAGAAGCCATGATGAATTGATGAAATCCATTGAGTGGGGGCAGGAGGAAAACTCATAGAGAGAAGAAAAACCCCACCACAAGAGAGAATCCAAACAACAAAAAATTCAATGATTGAAATACCGTATTGGAGGTGGTACCGGAAGAAAAGTCTGCAGTAGGATATTTTATGTTAAAATCGTGGTTTAACCGCGGTTCAATTGCTTAATACCACTAAATATCGTCGGTACGGTATGGTATTTTCTGGTCGAACCGCCAGTACGGTACGGTATTTCAATCCTTGAAAAATTCCAATTAACTTTCAACTATTCATTGTTCACAAGGTTGTCAACCCGCGGGTTGACCCGGACCCGGACTCGGTCGAGCTAGTGGGTCAAGGGTTAACGGGTCACCCGTTTTAGTCCGGAAATATGGAAAGAGACATTATATTGTACTTATCCTTATAAATTATATCAAATCTCATCTAACATATGAGTAAATAACATATAACATTACACCAAAGTAACATGTCGTACTTAGATACAACATATAGTGAAAATTCACACACACACACACACACTTATATAACATCAATATTCAAAGTTTCAACTAAGGATTCCAAAGATAGAGTTAGGCGAAAAGAAAAATCGATAAATAGGCGCATTTCACAAACAAAAAAAAAATTAATCAATTTGAACCCGGTACCTTGTAGCGATCGACCCGGCGGGTGCGTGCGACCATTTTTCTCACTAAGTCAGGGTCAAACTGGGTTGACCCGCGGGTTGACAACCTTGACTGTCCATGTTTCTTTTAACTACTAGGGCATGATTTCTTGATTTCAAGCCAGAAACTAATTATGGTCAATCTTTGCAAATTCAATCGCTTTTCCATGTGATCTAAGTGTACCATAATTAACCAAGTTTTTAATTTTAAAATAATTCATCATCTCAAATATTACAATTTTAATTGGGAACAACTATAAGACTATAAAAACTAAAAACTAAAAAAATACACAATTATCCCGTCAAATAGGGGTGGGGCAACGGGACGGGACAGGGTACCCGTCCCGTTTTAAACGGGTACCCAGTCCCATTTGAAGACCAAAGTCCATCCCATATCCCAAATCCATACGGAAAACGGGTACCCATTACCCGTACGGGACGGACGACGGGTACCCATACTACCCATAAATACCCAAAGTTTAAACCACTAAAATTTTAACAAAAGTTTTAACTTAACTTGTATTTGCTTAACAATCACAAGACACAAAATACATCCCAATCACAAATACTTGGTTTGCAAATTACACATTCATGAACAATCACAACACATAGAAATAAATCATTCCAAGCACCAAATTATCAAAAAAGAAGTTTCATTCAACACAACCAAATGGGAGGCATGCTGCTACTTTCTGCAAGCTGCTGCTGCAGTTCTGCCTTCTCCAGGCTGCTGATGCCGTTCTCCCTTCTGCAGGCTGTTGCTGCCATTATCCCTTCTGTAGCTGCAACTGTCCTTCACCTGCTGCTGTCCTGCAAAGAAGAATAATTAGGAGCAATATTGGGATGATCCAAGTTCCTTAATTAAGTACACAATAATCTCAGGCTGTAAATGGACACTCGTTGCCTCATTTCAAACACATCCCAACTCTCTCTACTAATTCACCAAACATGTCAGTGAAAGAGTGAAAGGGTAAGGGCCCAAATGGAATTGAAAGGGTAAGGGTAAGGGTAAGGGTCGAAATGGCCAAATGGGTTTTGAATTGGACTGAGCTGAATTAAATTTCTGCATTTGTATTGAATGGGTATAACGGGTACCCATATTACCCAAACGGGTATTCGCGGGTAACCCGCGGGTACCTATATTAGGAATGTACAATCCCAAGTCCCATCCGTTTATAATATTACGGGTAATATGGGTACCCGTAACCCTTAAAAAACACGATGGGTACGGGTATACCCAAATACCCGTTTCCCGTTGCCCACCCCAATGTCAAAGGAGGATTCTACGAAGAAACTTGTGTAGAAATGATAAAAGAAAGAAAATTATGAGGAAACATGACAAAGTGAAAAAAAAAAACTTCATACGTTGTCAGCCAAATTATCGAAAGTGAAGAAAAGATGTAGAAGCGACATAACGTTAAAAAACATGAATAAGGAAAAACGATGAAATCAAAAAAAAAAAAAAAAACGTGAAAAAAAAATGGTGAGCAATCTACCGCATCCCACCATGTTTTAATTTTCCCCCTTACATATCTAACAGTTAGAATCTAACTAATAATGTTTGGCCGTCGTTATCACTTATCACAAGTCACAACAACACAATTTAAGTCTCCCTTCCCCTTCAAAAACTACGAAGCAGAGCTTTCAACCAAAGGAAGTATTTTTTTTTTTTTTTGGAAAGATCAACCAAAGGAATTAGAAGGTCAAAACAGAAACACATAACACCAAACTGTTTTTGTGATTTGAAGAACAGTGTGTAGGCCAGATTTTGCATTGACAATAAAAGGCAGAATTCGTGAACAGATTCATCCCCCCACACACCCAAAAAATGAAGTGAAAGAAAATTACTGTTCACAACCAACGCCAAAATAAAACCCCCTGTCAGGCGCTGTTTGCTGTTAGGTGTTCACTGTGTTCCAAATCCAAACACAGTACTCAGTCTAATTTTCACCAGTGGTCTTTGAGATGCCCACTTTCCCCCAATTCTCCAAACGGAACTTGGTATTTGGGTAAGTAAACCTTTCACCCCGAACCACAGCCCACAACTCATCCGCTAACTAGTCGATATTAGTCGGTTTAGAGTTTAGACCTTCACTTAGGGCCTGTTTACTTTCATTTCTGTTTCCTGTTTTTGAGAAAACAGATGTTGAAAACAGGTGAAAACAACATTTTGTCGTTTCCGAAAACAGCAGGAAGTTGCCACTTTCTGTTTTCATAGTTGGAAACGAATAGAAAACGAAATGAAAAGTAAACAAGTTTTCTCATTTCGGTTACCAAATTTATGACATGAAAACAGAAAACAGGAAACGAAAATGAAAGTGAACAGGGCCTTAGTTTCACCAAAACGTCTTCTTTAAGGAGTGACAATTGCCTTATATAGACTCAAATTTGCTATGATACTATTGGCGTTCCCTTAACCGAGCCACAAAGTCATTTTTCATCAGGAAAGTGGTCCGAGCTTCTCCCATAACTTGAGAGCTCCAGGAGGGTTTTGTTCACCAAGCCTTGCTTATGAGACAATTAAGGGCTCACTCTTCAACAAGCACGCTGGGGAGCTCATGATTTCATGCTCCATTTAAGTCCCCCGACACGGGTGAAAGGGCTCACACACTTGCGAAACCTCGAATCTGAAGCATGTAACTAGTGAAAAAGTCTCTAGCCAACTCATCCAGGGTTCATATATATACTTCAGCGATTCAGATCCGAAGGATAAAACTCCCCTAGATCCTATATGGCTATTTCTTTTTGAGTTTTTCGAAGTTACCTCTATGAGAAACCCACCAAAATCGAAACACTAGTCCTATTTGATCTCACAAACCCTACCTTGAAACGTTGTTCTCCCCCAGAAAACCCTCTATTTCCACAAACCAAAATTTCAGTTCACAGAAATCGCTACATCTGATTTACTTATCCAGCTCAAAGCATTCAATGGGCAACCATAATCCGCCCAGCGACTTGGTCGAGATCCCTCTGGCCATTCGAAGTGATCTTCGTCCCACTAGAGTGCCAATAAAACAGGGGGGAAAGAACCATTTCATCATGGTAATCATGCTATCTGATGAATTAGAGTGGAAATGTGAAAGTTATAACAGCAGTAATAACATGAACGAACTATTTGACTCACCCAGAGGGTTCGAGTTCAACAATGTTATTCAACTGCAGCTGGTGAAGAATGTGGCGAGCAATAGCACCGCTGCTCTTGCAGAAATGAGGGGGACGGCTTCCATTCCTCTTGCTTCCTCCGTAGATCCTACGAAAAGCACCGACACCAAGGCCTCCCACTCAGCTAGACCTTCCTTGCCATTGAGGCTGCAATCACAGCTCATAAATTCGACGAAGCTTTAGAAATCCCCGGTAACAATCCTACGAAATTATATGTTTTGAGCTGTAAGAGTTAGGTAGCAGGCCAGCGTGCAGAACATATGGGATACTCACCAGCTCTAATGTAGTACCAGTCATGATCATAAGGGGCAAGCTCCTTCAGTTTACCAGTCTTCACAATATCGATCCATGGGGGCAGCTCAATCTAATTTGCAAAAATAAAGGATACAAAACAACAAAGAGCACATCTGTTAGCAACCCAAAAGCAAAAGATTTGAACTCAAACTTCTCTATGGCAACAAAACGGCTTATATATTGAATCAGTCTCCTACTTAACAATTCAGCATAAGATATACAAATTCAACAACATAAAACTAGTTCATTACAAACACAACGAAAACCTGAATGAATGGACAGACTAAGACCAGCCCACTAACCAACATTCTCAATCTGCTCCCGCCGATGGAAACTACGCAAGCAACCAGCCGATTGAGCTAAAGTAACTATTCACCAAACTGCTCCTTCAACGGCAACTAAGGCACTTGAGGCTCAAAATTTGAAGTAGCAGATTCAACTAGAATCTAAGCAGCCAGAGTCGACTAAAAAAGAAGGGGAAAAAAAAACAAACTTTACAGGATTCCCATCACTTCTCTTCTCAACAACTAGTTTTAAAGTGTCCTATTGTCAACCATAACTCTAGCTGTAAGAAAAGCAGCGCAATAGCTTCTGGTTACAGAGAATGCCTAATTGTAAATCTTACCAGCAAGCAACCAATCGTCAAACTAGTCAATCGGCAGATAATTTCGACGACCGTATGTCCACCATCAAACTAATCAACTAACCCAGAATCGAAAATTACATTCCCAGTTTTGCAATTCAGTGAGGAGATGGGACATTGAATTACCTTGCCAGATCGCTTGGGGTGGGCGGCGTAAGCCTTGACGAACTCGTGAGGAGAGACATCCTTGACGGTCCCAGATTTGACGGCGACGTCACCAGCAGCAGGGGCAGCCATGTTTTTTATTCTGTTCTCCGAGGGCTTTGAGCGACGCAAGCTCTCACGATTTGCAGGACGAAGAAGGAAAGGAGAGAGAAAGAGCTGTAAGGGACGCGGAGGGAGCCCAATTTCTCATTCCCGGCAAGCCCACGGGCTATTGTGTAATATTCATCGGCCCATGACTTGCCAAATGAACCCAATGTATTTGGTTTTCTTGTGGATAAAAAATGCAAAGAATTAAGGCAAAATACATCTGTATAGCCATAACTTTCACACTTTTGACAAATATAGTCATTACTATTCGAAAACCACAAATAGCCCAAAAAATGGAGAGTAGTGTGACAAATCTAGCCAAAAACGTTAGAAACTTTAACACCGTCTGCGGTTCCGTTAAATCTTTTGACGGAATGCTGACTAGGACGGAATCCGACCTCCACATCAGCGACACATAAGCCAAATGTACACGTGGAATGTCACGTCAATAAAGAATTATAAAAAATTCAATTTACATCCGTCGACTTCCCTTCCCTTCCCTTCCTCCGCCATCAACCTATCTCTCCGCCGCCCAAAATAAAAAAAAAATCTCCATCCACACACAGAGCCCTTCTAATAATCACAAACCCAAAACAAATCCTCTACACAACCATTGTTCGCCAGAAAACCCCTTAAATTATCCCTATTATTCTTACCAAGAACCCTTCCAATCAGCTTAAATCCCCTTTTCTTCTCCCAAATCTCCTTCCTCATAGCCATATCCTCGTCCAATTCCTCCAACCCCACTCCTTAATTAGATGCGTCGGCGATATGGCTTTTTCGATGGATTTGGGAAAGTGGAGGAAAAGGAAGGAAGAGGATGGAGCAATGGTGACGGTTGGAGTGTCGGTCGCAGTGGATGGGAGCAACAGTGGCGGTGGATTGCGCTTAACCTCCACCTCGCTGTTTTCGGTTGTCGACGGCTGTTCTTGGAGTAGCATACCAGCAGCAGACTAGTAGATGAAAACAGATCTATTATGGGCGAGAATCCCGAATCCCTCATCGACGGGCTTCTTCTTCGTTGGAGATGAGTGAAGGTTGGAGGTCGAGGGTCGCATCATCGGCGGGCTTCTTCTTCGTCCTTACCATCAGCTCCAAAAGATGGAGAACGAAGGCCTATCGACATGCAACAACAACAATAACACCGAGTCACAACTACAAAAAGACACAAGAGGAGGTAAGAATCGACATACACATAATCGAAACCCCCAACCAACCTCTCTGCTCTCCCTGAAAAACTCACCAATCGCGCCAGAAATCACTTTCTACTGTGAAATTAGGGTTTTGGAGAATCGGCGAGAAAAGATTTTTCTAGGCTTCGTCGATGCTTTCTTCAGTATTAGGATGCTTGGTTGCGTCGGGAAACGGTGGCCGCCGGTGGATTAGTCAGGATGCATGCCAGAGTTCGTCATTGGAAGAGAGGCGAAATCGGGGATGATAATAGCTGAAGTTTTCGGGGTTGGGATGGGGATTTATAGACGATTAGGGTGACGAACGAAAACTGGAAGGGGGTTATCGGAGGAAGATCGGAAAAGGGGGACGGAATCAATCCATCATCGTCGTCTCGTGGTCGGAGAAAGAGAGGTGAAGGGGGGAAAGAAAACGAAGAGATAAGAAAGAATGGACGAGTGGTGGTGGCCAGCTGGATCGCTTTCATCTTTTGTTTTTTTTTTCATTTTTTTTCCACGTCTGTATTTCCACGTCGGATACATCTGGTAGCTCAGTGGCCAACTCAGCGACAGCCGTTAGTCCATTCATAAAGTATACTAACACCGTTACCTAAATGGACGGAAGTGGCTATTTGTGGTTTTCGAATAGTAATTGGCTATATTTGTCAAAAGTGTGAAAGTTATGGCTATACATGTGTATTTTGCCAAGAATTAAAGAACCCAGTTAAACCTTTTTTCTTAATCATTTCATACTATCATCAACAAGGTGAGGTTAGTAATAAATTTTTTGCATTGTTTAAGAAACTCTGTCGTACTGGGCAGTCAGACCAGAAATATCGAATGTCGGCCAATATCGATACGATTTTAGTATAAAACTAGCGTGGGCCCCGGCCATTTGGCCGGAGGAAGATGAGGTATGAAATTTGATAATGTAATGGGGTGTATAGCTTATTGTTGTATATTTTTTTTGGGAAACACGTGATAAAAATAGTGAATTTTAGTAGGAAAGAGACATAAATGATGCAACGAATCAAAAATCAGTCTTATGAACCAAAATCAAGTACTTGTTACCTTGTGAAACAATATTATTTATGGTAATATGATGAGGTGGAGTAAGTTTTATAGAAACCGAATTCCAGAAAATCGAATAAAAAATCGCCTATCCCGACGGTTTTCAGGAAATGAGCATCTCACAATCGTTGCTAGCTTTTACTTGACCCGTTGGACGATTAATTTGCTTTATAAAACTTTCATCTTGTCATCATTGTGTTTTCTGGTTTTTTGCCAAGCAATGATAAAATCTAAAGAAATAAAAAATGAACAGCACGATTTGGGATAGGAACCACCGTTCGTGTATCCCTAGAAAATGGTGGTAAACACGGACTCACCTGCCAAACTGGTTTGGATTGAGATTTTTATCGGGTATCAGGAAACCATGTGATTATAAATTAGACTTGATCAAGACGGGCCAAAACTTGAAATTCAGCATGTTTGACCGACCCATGCCAAACTCTAATTATTCTTTACTTTTAAACTTTTATTTGAAAATAAAAAATAATGAAAGAAAAGAGATGACTGCAATTCGCCATTTGCACATCACTGATTCGGGAATAAAACTAAAGAATTTCGAAAGGAAACTGAAAATGTTTAAGATCGTTTTAATGTTAAAAATAACCAAATAGATCTTTCTGTTTAGTTTTTTACTAACAAATACCAAACGATTCCCTATAATATACACTATAATTTAATCATTATGATATCAAATAATTACATAATATATATATTTGAAATGATAAAAATTGGATTAATTGGATTGGTCGAGGTTGAACCATTGAATAACTTTAAAATACATTATATTTTAGCCACTAAGATATAAAATAATAGCATAATATATATTATGCTAGAGAAAATAGTTTGTTTTAGAATGACAAACCCATGATGTTCATTTGTTTTACTTGATGGGAAAATCCCGTGTAGGTCAGACCCATTCAACTCTTTTATTTTATGATTAGCGGTTAGCCCATTAGAATCCATGCATTAGTTTATTGTTAATTTTTTTTCTTTTTAGTAATAAAAAGGAGTATTGTTTTTGCCTTTTCATATATATTTTACCACCACGGAGAAATAAAATGACTTAAAAAAATTGACACTCCTGGACTCGCTTAAATCCGCATGTGTACGGTAAGTTGGCCCATTCCACAGAGGAAAAAGAAAAAAATTGACACTCCATATTCTACCCTTCCTACAAACGCTCATGGAGCAGGGAATTTGAAATGGGGGAGGAGTTTTTTCCTCTCTGCGATTATATGTTTTTAATTTAAAAAGATACAATAAATATACTTAGTGTGATTGGTTATGATCTTTGCTTTTCTTTAAAGTGGTCATGGTTCGAATCCTAGTAAGTGTCTTTTTAATGAATAAAAAAAAGTAATTGTGAAGACCAAAATGTCCTTCCTACTTTCACTCTCCATGCAGGAAATTTGAAATGGGACTTCAAGTTTTCTCATTTGGCTTTTATTTATTGTGTAGATAATATACTATTGACTTTTCCAGTATAAAGTTTCGAATTTACAATACTTAATGAGTTAAAGTATAGGTGCTTTAAAGTACAACTTAAAGTTGTATCATATCCTTAAAAATATAAATTAAAGTTGTCTCATAAGAAAATTTCCGAAAGAGTTAGGTACAACCCGAAGTTGTACCATAACATTAAATATACAACTTCAGGTTATACTATAAAAACAAAAACTAAAGCACCAATACTTTAAAGCATTGCAGAATTCCTCCTGAAATTAATGATTTTTGACAATTATGATAAGTGTGTCAATCGAAGTTTAGTAATGAAATCCAACCAGTGAAATTAATAATTCAAGATTTAAGTCATGCTAGATTAAGGTAAAAAGATTCAGAAATTCGATATTGAAATCAATAATTAATTTCTAGAGAGAGCATCATGGTCACAAATAACTCTTTTCTTTGCTCTTGTATTTCACCTCTGGAAATTGGAACCATACTTTATCCTAAATATGATCCAAATACATATATAACAATAAAAAAAAGAAGCTATATGATCAAACATCCAATACTTAAAACTAAAATTCTTCTAAAGTAACAGTCTAATAAAATCACCATTTCCTCTTCCTTTTGTTACCGCCTTCCTCTTCTGCTCTAAATTAATCTAGTGGAGTCTAAACCTTCTCATCAGCATCAGCAGTTTCCAGTTTCTGGAACTTGGTGCTGCTGTTCGCTGGGGAACTCCGACGCTCTTTGCCCCCAGGTTTCGATGAGGCATTGCCATACCATATCATCCCGGCCACAGCAATGATCATGCCAACAATCACATGGAAATTGAGGTCGTCTTTCCCGAAGAAGACGAAGCCCAAGATCAGCACGAGAATTGTCTTCATATGACCGAGGACCTGGAAGGAAACCGCGGTGAACCTGCCTATGCAGATGAACTGGCTGAGGTTTGTTCCAATGGCGATGGTGCAGGATAGCACTATGAACAGCTGCAACCAAACACAAGTTCCAGTTTTTCAGATCAGGCTGAGGGACCACAATGAACGAGCTTGATACCAAGAGGTTTTCGAAGACATATTAAGAAAAAAGTAATTTGCTTGATAAGCACCGGTGAACTGCTTGTCCCTTGCTATAAGTAAAAGGGTTATGGATTTTACTGCCTTCAAATGCATTTGACAACCAGATTTCTCACAGGGGAAGAATGCTTACTTCTGTCACTAAATTGATTACATGCTCCCTACTGACTAGCTTTTCTGGAGCCATAATTTGATTGATACTACAAAGAGATTGAGGTGAATGTTGTATCAAATGAACATCATGAATCTAAACTCAGAGTCCAACATACAAACTTACCACAGGCGTCAAGGAATAAGGATAAGCATCGACTCTTTTCGTAG